TATGTATGGAATGGTCTATGTGTAGTATATGTTGATGTTTATATATTGTTTACTGTAAAACTAAACAAGGATATTGATTACAAATATATATATTTTTTTAGCTGTGTACCCTTAACCTTCAGTTTGGAAATTCTCCAGATTTCATGTGTTGCTACTTTAGCTTAGTGTTAATGCTGATGATGAACACCCTACTTTGCTGTACAGTTTGACAGGAAATTGGCTTCTCTTCCAGAATGTCTGCCGTGACCCCGTATCTGTTTACTGTGGTAAAGCCTGGAACTGCATTAAGAGTTGATCCATATCAGGCTAGATTTACAGCATGTGTAGGTCCACTAGTGCAGCCGCTAGAGACACATAGAAGCATTTAAAGTAATATGCACTGATTAAATGTTGCTTTACAGCAGGTCCTAGGCTTCTGTGTGTGTGTGTGTGTGTGTGTGTGTGTGTGTGTGTATTAAGAGTTGATATCAGGCTAGATTTACAGCATGTGTAGGTCCACTAGTGCAGCCGCTAGAGACACATAGAAGCATTTAAAGTAATATGCACTGATTAAATGTTGCTTTACAGCAGGTCCTAGGCTTCTGTGTGTGTGTGTGTGTGTGTGTGTGTGTGTGTGTGTCAAAGTTAGGTGATGTAAATACTGCATATACATGCATACATTATTAGAATTCTCTATAAATTAATTACTTAAACTGCAAACATTGTGCGCATTTAATTGGTCGTTAATTGTAATGGCAATCAATCATGAAAATTCATAAAAAATAATTAGTAATGGAGTGTCACTCTAAAACAGCTTAGAAATTTGGGCAAAATTTACTGATCATGACATTCAATCATGAAAATTACTGAATATTGGCATCCCTAAAAAGCCTTAAAAGGGGGTTTTCACATTGATTCCACAGAAGAGCAACTTTGAGTTCCCCAAAGAACCTTTCAATGCAGTGTATCATTAGATATCACGCTGACCGAATAGCTGAGTGTATTTGGGGTTTATCTTAGCAGACTCTCGATTACCCATCTCCTGAGAGCACACACTCAAATATAGAAAGGCATGTGAATCTCCAGACTTCTGTCAGCTGTTTGAGAAGAGAATCAGTGGCAGATGCTGTGATACTGAGAGAGAGACAGAATAAGAGAGGACTGGTGAGGTGATTTGAGGTCGAGGGGTTTATAAGGATTGTATAGAGTTGAAGATACTCTCTGACTGACATGTAAAGCAACCAGAAGTTTTTTTCTGATGTTTTTCAGACACTCACTCCCAGATCATGTTGCTGCACAGTCTGAAAAAGGCTAACTACAACCTGCCGCTGGTTCTGACCGATTCTGGCGTGCCTCCAATATCCAACAACACAG